CTCTTCACTCAACAACAGAAACCTAACTGTTTGTTGCTTCTACCTCTCCTCAGATAGACGGCAGTCCCTCTTCCTCTCAACAGTCTTCACTGTCCTGGACTCTGTCTACCACCTCAGCCGAAGACTCCAAACTGCTGGGAATCTTCTGGAGAGTTCTTCATCACAAGAAGACCTCAGTCACTCTCCTCTGATCTCAGCCTTCAGTAAGAGGTTAGTCCTAACCTACTCACTAAGGTTTGAACATTAATTCTGCTTCTCTCAAAGCATGCTGATCCAATGGAAAAGTTTCAATGCACTCAAAGAGATAAACTCTTATACTATCAGTCGGATCGGAAAGCTACCGATCCAAACTCACCATGGTTACTTGTCCCGTTTGTAAACCAATGGTTCAATCTCATAGACATCAGAAAGATCAAATCAGAGTTAGATTACCTATGTCCTTATGAAAATCTTCAGATTAGATGGCTCTATCCTGAGCCACCGCAAAAACTTAACCAATCACAGTACAAAGCAACTCTGGACGGAGTTGACTTCAACCTATGGACAGATCACATAATCCCACAGTTTCATGCTTACACCGAAGCATGTCACTGTCAGAAAGAACATATTCACGAATCTCGCTTTGAAGGTCACTTGGCAAGTGGCAACCTGGAAGCTATTATCTCGAACCCAACCATCCTAGACAGGCTCAAACGAGGTCCAATGTTTAGAGAGACTACAAACGGAGACTCCAAACTGGCACGGGAAGCCTTGAAAGATGCCTTCACTGAGCTCGTGAACCGTAAACGAAACCCTGATGCCCACAGATGGATCAGAAAGTTTCTCTCACGTTTTGACGACAACGTGAAAGACTTGCTACAGAAGAATACGAACAAGGAAATGAACCTTAACTCTCTCTTATTCCCAGCTCCCGGCAGAATTGCAGAACATCAACAAGAACTAGACTCGTTCCTACAGAAGTATGTAATCCTCCCAGCAGATAAATGCAGGGGAAACTACTACGTCATCTGTAAAAATCTCTATATTAAGCAATGTATCATCACGTTACATAACGCTCCAGAGTATACACGACTCAACACCTCAAAAGACGATCTGGTCGCCTCTCTCGCGAACCAAATCTCAGGCTTAATTCATCACACTCACCTGGAAGCGCTTCTCCGAAACGAAACAGATGAAGTCCCGTACTTTTATACGCTGCCTAAACCACATAAAACTCCAATGGGCTGGCGGCCAGTCGCCGCCACCCATCGCTCCATTTTTAATCTCCCTCAACGAATCCTCACCGAAGCTCTTTCACTCGTCATGCAAAGTCTTCGAACTTTTCATGAAGCCGAATTCAAAGCAACCAGGATTCGAAAATATTGGATAGTCGAAAACAGTCTTGATATTATTCTCTCACTTCCTGAATGCCTGGTCAACATGTTCTCATCGGACATCGATTCAATGTACCAGAAAATGGACCAGCAGAACGTAATAGCTCAAGTTCAGGAAGAAATAATACGGGCAGCCAACATCGTGGGTGCAGACTCTTTCTTCATAGCCATAGGCGACACCAGTCTAGGCAACAACATAGACAACGGAACCTGGTTTGATTCTGAGTCAGGCCTTGACCCGACCACCAAATCTCTTCCTAGCGAAAAGGAATATTGCAGTAAAGGTGTGGTTTATCCTATCCAGAACATCCTAAACCTACTTGAATTCCTGGTGAAGAATTCCTACGTCAGCTTAGGAAATGCTCTCTTCCATCAGGTCAACGGGATTCCCCAAGGAGGGCACTCAAGCGGTTTTCTCGCTAATCTCACATGCCATGCGCACGAACGGAAATGGGTCGAAAAGTACCCATGGCATTCTCTGCAATACTCTATTTTCAGGTACATGGATGACTTCGGCTCAGCAAACGCTGAATACTTCCAAACCATGTACCAGGACATCTATCCCCCAGAATCAGGCATTCGACTGATCCCTAACAAAGTAAAACCACATCCAGATCGTATCTTGCAGTGCAAGTTGCTGGACACTTTGATCTACGTCGACCTCCAGGGCAACGTACATGTCACACTTCATGACAAACGAGAAAACTACAACTTCTTTGTTAACCGGTTCCCTGACGTCGCCTCTAATGTCTGCAGGGCTCAATCAATCTCTTCCTTCTACGGAGAAATTGTACGGCTCTTCCGATTGAATACACACTCGGAAGGCTTCTTCGAAAACGTTGCTGAAGTTGCAGCTTATCTAATCAAGTATAAACACTATCCTACAAACGAACTGATATTCACCTTTTCCCGCTTTCTCAACACCCAGGTTTACAATCCGAGACTCATGGGTAACAAGAAAGACCTTGAACTCATTTTCCAATATACTCTTAAGCAAAAACTTAACCTGTGATTACCTAACCCAATTTTCTGTCACAGGAAACATGCTGCCCTACACGTACGCGACTCCAGCCTACGCAATGATGACGTCACCGTTTCAGCAACAACAGCCCCCGCCATCCGCGCCGATCCCCGCCGCACCGTCCTCCACAGCCGACAACAACCTTCGTCTACGCTCAAACATTCGCGGCTCCGACGGTCGCGGCTCAGCCAGCACCACAACCCATTCTCCCACCCCCCCCAGCCCCAGCCCCTCCCCAGCAGGGACCCTTCACTGTGGCGCAATATCCTGCGCCACAGGCACAGGGTTACCCCAACGTCATTGGACCTCCCCCACCGGCTAACGCGCCCCCCCAACCAACGTATAACTTCTCCGCTCCCCCTCCTTACCAACCCCCGGCCGCCCCCCCCGAGCCAATCCTACCCCCCCCCACGGAGCACAGCATCCGGCCCCTCCCCCGGTTACCTACACCAACCCACCCCTTAACCCTCCGGACAACGGTTACCACAAACCCAACCACTCCTGGGGAAACCAACCCCAGGGATGGGGAACGGAATCGACATGGCAAAACCCTGGACACGGATCCACCGGGAACCTGAGCGGACCACCAACCTGGGGTCGTAACGCAATTCCGCAAGCCCAGAGAACTGAACTGTACCCGGTCCAACCAGTCAACCCAGGTCCTAACCCGTCCTATACCCCGCCACCGCAGAATCCACCCGGGAGGCCCTCTTACTCAAACCAGTTCACACCAGCGCAGAGAAACGGACCAGGCGCATGGCAGAACCCTCGAAACCCACCCGGGATGAACAGTAACCCGGTCGGTCCAATCCGTAACCACCCTCGTGTGCAGACCCCGAAGAACGGCAGCAACCGCGCCCAACCGGGCACACCGTACGACAAACCGCAGCCGAAACCCCCCGTCCTCAGGCAGCAGGTGATGCCCTACTTCACCACCGTGAAGGGCGAGTTCACACAACTCTGTGTGAACACGGCTCAGGACAAACCATGCCCCGACCCGGCGTGCAAATTCTCGCATGCACCCAAGGCGGAAAGGCCGTGCCCAGCTTTCCACACCCCCAAAGAGAAGTGCGTTTTTGACACCAAGTGCCTCCTGGGCCACACGGAAGCCAGAGAAGCAGTTCGTCAATCGAAGGCGTTCGCGAGACACAAGGAGTGGCAGGCCCAGGTCAATGAAACCCCTGGAGCCTACGGAGAAACAAACCCAGCTGAATCCGGGGTCAGAAACAAGCCAACCCCCCCCCCCGATCGCGAATCCTCCCCCTCTCGAGAACACGGCCAAGCCCACGCAGCTGACCGCACCGAATCCTAACCCCGAAGCCGCGGGTGCCAAAACGGACGCAGCCCGCCCCAACAGCCAAACTCAACAGACTCCCGGCAATATCCCTGCCGTGAACTTTCAGGCTCTTGTGCAAGAGAACGCACAGAAGGGACAGAATGATGAGACGCACAGACTTTCCCTACTCACTCAGTCGCTGCAAGAGGACGTGGCCAAGCTGATGCAGGCGCAGCATGAAAAAGAGGACCAGATGCGGTCGCTCCAGTCGGCCATGGGCAGCATGCAGGAAGAGAACCGCTCCCTGCGCGACGAGAACGAAAGTAAACTCTCTCCCCTTGAATCTCTTTATCGTAGTATGTTTGAAATCTCTTCAAACACACGTCTACTAATTGATCTCAATTCTGAAACTCCCTCGGAAAAAGCAACTGAAGGTTTGCTGGTCATTCTGACAGCAATGTACTCTCGTCCAGTCGAATTCGCAGGCAGTCAGATTTGCTTGGACCTATACAGCAATCGGCCCATCACAAGATTTTCTTCGGATGTCGCAACGCTGCAATCCTTAGGTCTTTCTAAGTCGAACGACATCCACGCGTTCTTCTTGACTTGTTACATGACTTTTCCAGTCGATCCATCCTTTGTCAAGGACGGAGCAGTCTCGAACGTCTCTTCTGTGGTCAGCCTACCACACGGGGGCTCGTGTTCACCACGCAATTCCGTACTGAAAAAAGCACCTAAGCGCTTTCGCAAACTCTTCTTCACACAGTCACAGACACGCGCTGTGACATCGGTTTCCAATTCTGACCTGACCACTGCACCCGACGGAGGACTGGTACAAAACGACCAACTCCCGAGTCAGGTACACTATCTCGTCACGAAATTCCTATACGCCACCGACGTGTATAAAAATCCCTCCGTTCCACTCATTTCACAATTCATCACATTTACACAGAACGCACTTACCAACCTGGATACTTGCCTCCTGAAATACAAATCATCGGTCTACAACATGTGCCCTCTGAAACTGAGAGAGTACAAGAACGGTAAAAAAATGGTTGTCAAGAACACGGATCACCCCATTTACGAGAAATGGGAGTCTTTGATTAACCGGGTTCACTTTGACAGTGCGTACGCGACCACAAGACTTACGTTCGCGTGGAAGGGTTTCTACATGCCAAAAGGCAAAATCTCAAGTCAACGGGATAAATATGCCTTCTTCGCATTCGCTTACGTCATCGACCTTCTTCTCGGAGCGCTACCACTTTGGCCCCTCGAATCTTCATCAGAATATCAACTCGACCGCAAAGATCCGCTTAGACACTACACAATTGACAACGTTCGCTGGCTCAGCAAGCCAGACAACATGGCAAACAAGCCCTCAACAGGAAACACGAAAGGATCTCACTTTAAAACCACCAAAGACGTAATCCGGCTTCTTCACTCTTGCGAACGAAACAACCTTATCACCACCGAGCTCCTAGGGGCGCTCACAAAAGGTTACGGCACGTAGTGATCTTTTCTGATGGGTCTTGGACTGCATCGCAGACACAAGACGGGTGGAGGCGGGC